GCCATACTATATAGAGATATAGAGGTGCCAGTGTTATAGAGGTGCCAGTGTTATAGAGGTTCCCATCATATAGAAGTATCACAGTGCCATACTATATAGAGATATAGAGGTGCCAGTGTTATAGAGGTGCCAGTGTTATAGAGGTTCCCATCATATAGAAGTATCACAGTGCCATACTATATAGAGATATAGAGTTGCCCGTGTTATAGAGGTTCCCATCATATAGAAGTATCACAGTGCCATACTATATAGAGATATAGAGGTGCCCGTGTTATAGAGGTGCCCGTGTTATAGTGGCGCCCGTGTTATAGAGGTGCCCGTGTTATAGAGGTGCCCGTGTTATAAAGGTGTCTTTAATCTAACAAAATAAATTGGTGCTTGTCAAATTTGCTTAATTCATTTTCTTCCTTAACATGGTTAATGACTATTTAGTGCATCCCCTAATTAAAATCTTGATTAATTGTTCTCCTTAAGCGAAGATCTTTTGTGCCTTTATCGGGAGGTGCCCCGGGGAGGTGATGGTGCACCCTGTGCTCCCCCCGGTTACATCTCTGAGGAACCTTCAACACTTTGACTTTTGCCAGCTTTCAGTGTTTCTTGGATTGTAGTATCTGTTGTTTCTTTTGAAGCAACGCGCAGCTTTCAAGTCACAACGGCAGAGATGATAGGGACAAAATGGCTTATATATTGGAGAACACGATCGCCACCATCCGCGACCTTTACACCGCATACGCCCTTCAGAGAAAACAGAAACTTTATAAATTTATCTAATAAGAGAGACCTTACTTTCGTGTGCTTTCTTGGCTTTTTTTAAAAACTCTATGAGTACGAAAGTATTAAAATATTAAATATAATCAAAACCTTACTCTTTATTAAATCCCTTTATGCTCTATGAATGGAGATATTTTAGGTTTTGCCTTAAAAACTACGAATGGAAACGGATCACGAATGGACATTTGAAGTCACCTCATTTTCCATATATATCAAACAATTACGACCTCATTGAATGCTGGTGGACCATGACCGCTTCAAACGTGATTGATGGTGATTAATTAGATATATTTTTACCAGTGAAGATGGACTTTATGTCAACGCATCTCCCTCTTTTAAAATTATAAGGCAGGCCAACCGTCATTTTCCTGGTGCAAATCTTTTTGCGTGTGAGTCGATCCCAGCACTTGTCATGTGCTTTGCAACACCTGTGACAAAGTTATCGTAAGGGAAAGCACATTTATTTTGCCAAGGGGTTGGAAGGGGGGGGGGGAGATGTCGAGGAGGGACTGATATATTCTGTAAAATACCTAACCCTAACTCTAGCGGCCTTGAAAGATTTGTGACAAGCCAAACAGGCTCAGAAAAAATTAATGAGATATCTATATAACTTCAGTTCAAACTTTCCCCCTCTCCCTTGGGAATATTAAATGCACTTTCCCTATTTTTTATTCATGCGCCATGAAGTTATGGCCTACCGCTACCATTAACCCCATTCTCCACCTCCGTTATGACTCTGGTTATACAGTTATTATCCAGCCTTGTTTCCAGGCAACGCTGATCCCTCATCCCATATCCCATGTCACGACCCTGAACTCTAGTCTAAAGTTCCGCGTACAAATTACGTCAGCCAAGTGCTGCGTAACAGCGTAAGAAGACAAGAGAGAGAGAGTTTGGTCTGAGATATTTCATTTTTCGTTTAAAAGGGTGATAATTGGATGGAAATATTGAAGACGACACAAAACTTGTTTATATGGGTCTAATAATCCTGAAGCAACTCGAGAAGGGAATTAACGGGGAATCTGGTATTTTTGCTCATTCATAATTCGTTAATAAATTTTTGTCAATTGTTATTGATGATTGTAAATTACTATCATTATTTTCAAATGACAGCTTTCTCCACAATCTGTACATTCCTTTGTAAAATTTAATATTTTCAAACAGCTTCAATTTCTTAGGTAGTCATCTAAACTAAACCAAACTTAGGGATATTATCAATTTTGATGATATAGGTAACTCGGCGATTTTTGCAATTTTAAAACTCGAACCCAGCCTCCTGCTCGGACATGAAAGCTGGCAATAGATTATTCAGTTTTTGTTGTATACCTGTCAATGGCATCAAGGGGTCGTCCTTTTCCTCCAAAGCCACAATAACAACCATACCCATTATAATCGAGAGGGTTTCTGCGAGTCACTTTCCAAATCATCACTCCAAAGTCAACGGATCCTCTTTTTTGAAGCATCTCTGAAATTTAGAATAGTTGATATGACAAAACTATACCTACCCAAACAATTAAATGGTGGTGGTCAAAACCGTCACCTCAGCTAATAAACTGCTCGCAAACTCGCAAAGAAGACTTACTAGATCTCTCTTCAGCAGGTTCGTCATCTTCAAAGACTTCACAATCCACAAATTCACTTGTTAGTAGCGCAAGCAAAAACAAAGCACTTAGAACTTTTAAACTAATACCCATGGTGACTACTTTTTTTTGTTTGACACTAGGACGAAGTTGTAGGACCACAAACCCAAATACTTCTGAGATGAAGGTCAAATCAACTTGAACTGTAAACAGTTTTTGAAAATATGCTTCGGCGCAATAATGATCGCGAGCTTTTAATACCGAGCTGCATTTGACAATTGAATCAATGTTGGAGTAATTGATAGGTCGGAAACCCGGAAAAAATACCTGAATAAATTTTTCAATCTCTTGATTTTGGTCTAAAATTGAAAACCGTTTAATTATATATATAAAAAAAATATTGTTGTGAGTTAATTTACAAATCAAGTTGTAGAAGAAATCTTTAACGTTTGCCTACAATGTGTTAGCTGCATTTGACAATTGAATCAATGTTGAATTTATTGATATGTCGCAAAGCCGGAAAAAATACCTGAATAAATTTTTCGATTTCTTGATTTTGGCCTAAAATTGAAAACCACAAATGAGTTTATTTAGAAATCGAGTTTTAGTAGAAATCTTAAACGTTGGCCTACAATGTGTTGTACCCATCTGAGTACAGCAAGCAAACATATGAAATACAAATCAAATCACCCAAAAGCAACACATGAACAATTAGRTACGTCATATCCGGAATGCCATCGACTGCTACGGAAGTTCGTGGGCCATGCTTCGCGAATCTCGTCCACTCGGCGCAAAGAATTGCATGTCATTCGTGCGAGATCCCTGTGTTAGTTTCGGGTTTCCTTTAGTGAATCCATGCCATATATGGAAGCAAACAAAATGACCGATTGTTGAGAAGTGTTTTCGCTATAATCTCTGCAAGTTTCAGACGATTTCAAGCTTTAAGAGTCGAGAAAATCGCCAAAAATAAGTCCAAACGTACTTCCAAATAAGGTAAGATTACCAAATATGGCTGCTAAACGACGGACAACCCTTTTGTATAAAGTGCCTTTATTGAATATATGACAATTTAATCCTTGTAGCTTACAATTTCCTATTATCAAAGTGCCATATTGCATAATGACTTAAAAGCATGTTTGCAGTGTGTTTTTTCCTTGATATGCAGTCTTTCCGTTCCCCACTGGGGACCATAATCCTTAGCGTTAAAGCAATAGAGTGTTTATTGTGACGTATTAAATTATGGCAATTTGTTAACCTCTGGTCTTTACCGAAACCGAAGGTCAATGTTATATGGGATATATACAGATTCCCGTGTTATAGAGGTGCCACTAGTAATATAGAAGTATCACAGTGGCATATATAGAGATATAGGGGTGCCAGTAATATAGAGGTGCCAGTAATATAGAAGTATCACAGTGGCATATATAGAGATATAGAGGTGCCCGTGTTATTGAGGTGCCCGTGTTATAGAGGTGCCCGTGTTATAGAGGTGCCCGTGTTATAAAGGTGTCTTTAATCAAACAAAATAAATTGGTGCTTGTCAAATTTGCTCAATTCATTTTCTTCCTTAACATGGTTAATGACTATTTAGTGCATCCCCTAATTAAAATCTTGATTAATTGCTCTCCTTAAGCGAAGATTTTTTGTGCCTTTATGGGGGGGTGCCCCGGGGAGGTGATGGTGCACCCTGTGCTCCCCCCGGTTACATCTCTGAGCAACCTTCAACACTTTGACTTTTGCCAGCGCTTGTATCTTTTATTGTAGTATCTGTTGTTTCTTTTGAAGCAAAGCGCAGCTTTCAGGTCACAATGGCAAAGATGATAGGCACATGATGGCYTTCTTATTTTCCGACATATTTTTCTCCATTTCAATATCCTTCTCCGTATCAATATCCTTTTCCATCTCCATCCCCATCTCCAAATTCTTGTCCGTGTCCATATTCTTGTCCATGTCCATATTCTTCTCCATCTACACCGCAAACCTTCAGAGAAAATAAAAGCTTTTCGTAAATTTTCACTTATAGAGGACCTAATAAGGACAATAAGAGAAAACGTACTTTAGTATAATTTTGGTTTTTAAAAGTAATTGCATAAAAAGGTTTTTAGTATTCACAGGAAGAAGTTGTATTCCAAAATTTAGATAAATGGCGAATTAAATTAAATGTTATTGACATTTAAAGAMGTTTTGAAGCTTTTTGTTGAATATTCTTGCAAAGAAGTTAAA